ATATGAATACATAAATATACATGATCATACCCCTTCAGTAGTGATCATGTGATTGTGACTAAATGCCTATGCTTTTAGGGCCAGTTCACACCACAAAGTCTGCGTTTCAGAGCGTTCGGCCCCTGGCACCCAAGCGGCCAGCTACCTGCGTTCAGGGGTGTGGCGGTGCATTGAAGTCAATGGCACTGCAGCCACGCCCCCAGTGCAATCGCCCACACCTGAAACGCAGGCACATAAGTGCCTGCATTCCGGTCCAGTGCAATCTGCAAAAATACTGCAAGCACTATTTTTGCAGATCGCACTGGACCAGAACTCAGGCACTAATGTGCCTGCGTTCCGGGAGCGGGCGTGACTGCGGTGCCATTGACTACAATGCACCGCCACGCCCCCTCCCGCAGGGAGCCGGCCACCTGGCGTTCCAGTGGCCCAACACTCTGGAACGCAGACTTTGTGGTGTGAACCGGCCCTCAAACAGCACAGGAGGGAGCCTGGAATTGCATTCTCGCCAGGTAAGGTACTTTAGCTCTTGTAATACTCTGTGTGTTCATCCCTGCAAGACTGATAACATACAGGGCTACATGTGAACAATCTAGGACAACAGCGCTGAACTGCAGAATTTTTCCAAATCAGCTATTTTGTCCTAGACAGTTCACTTCTCCACACTCTTCACCCTTTTGTGGATAGACCTGATAGTTTCAAGGTAATAATTGCTCAGACAGCAGTTTGCGGAGTCAGTGTTGGGTGGCATGGTGACTGGTTACCAGTGCTGCTTTGCAGTAGCGGATCCTAAACTTGATATGCACCACAGACACTATCTGCATGGAGTCCACTTATCCTTCCTGTGTTTGTGTGGTTTCCCCTCACAATCCAAAAACATCTGCAGAGTTATTCACAAAAGGGTGAAGAGTTTGGAGAAGTCAGGAGAAGTGAACAATCTAGGACAGAATAGCGGATTTGGAAAAAGTCTCCAATTCAGCTCCCTTTCCAGTTCAGCTATTTTGTCCTAGATTGTTCCCTTCTCCTGCCTTCTAATTCCTCACCCTTTATGAATAACCCTGATAGATAATTAGGTAATTTCTCTCTACAAAATCCCTGAGCTTGTACAAGTGCTGAAGAGGACCATACTGTATATAGGGGTTCAGCCTAAGGAATAGTTCTCTATACTCTGCAAAAATGATCCTGTGCTGATAGAAAGTTTATCATTAATGGTATTCAGTTATAATGGTATTTTTTTTAATTTTATGAGCCTAGTGAAGTTTTTTCCAATACAGATCTAGAACAAATGTGCAGATCAGGACTTCTTCCTTCACTTGATACATATTTGTTCTTGGGTCAGTGACCCATTTAGTTCTACAGCAGCGGTTCTCAACCTGTGGGTCACGACCCCGTCGGGGGTCGATTGACGATTTGCCAGGGGTCGCCTACAGACATGCCAACTCTCCCGCTATTAGATAGCGGCTCCTGGCCGCCCGGGAGAGAAACACGTTCTCCCGGAAAGGTTTACCCTGCTCGATCTGCTTTCCCTGCTCTGGTTTTTTTTTTCTCGGACATCGGAGCCGCCGGTAATAATAATAAAAAAAAAACAGCATAGGAATGCATAGCTGGATTCCTATTGGCTATATCACTTTGCAATAGCCAATAGCAAACTAGCTATTGCACCCGCCCACTGCAGTGGGGGACCTGAAGTTCTCCATCAGGTCCTCTTCTAGTCAATTGACAGCAGCAGAGGGCGGGTGCAATAGCCAGCTTGCTATTGGATATTGCAAATTGAAATAGCCAATAGGAATCTAGCTATGCATTCCTAAAAAAACAGAGCAGGGAAAGGTTTACTCTGATCGAGCAGAGTAAACCTTTCCGGGAGAAAGCTTTTCTCTCCCGGGCGGCCGGGAGCCGATATTGAACGGTAGCAGAATTACAGCGATGAAGGAGCAACGAAAATTATTTTACTGTTACGGGTCGCCACAAATTGGGCAATTGTATCAAAGGGTCGCGGCACTAGAAAGGTTGAGAACCGCTGTTCTACAGCCACTTGCTAAGCATGACAGTCAACCATTATTTTCAGATGGAGGCTATTTCCATATGAATAGGTTTCTCCCACCCACCCTACAAACACCAGTGGGATTAGTGCCCTGCTGTTGCTTACGTTATTTGATAGACCCGGACCTAAACAGCAGTTACCATCTACAGGCATTCTTTTCTTTTGACCAGGAAAAACAGAAGTGCAAGATGAAATGTTGAGAGACCATGTTATACTCGTTATCGACTGTGCGATTGATGTACATACCTACTTCCAACTCTTGCATTGTTTTCTTTGGGTCGGTTCACAATATCTGATTTCACCAGTAGGTGGTGCTGTAAGCAAATCCTTTTATTTATTTATCTAAATTGAACGTACAAAAGACTACAGAGAAGTTTTGTTATATTTTTATTATTTCATAAACTGTGCCAGTAAAAGCTTTTTAATGGCGTTGATATATCAATAAATAACAGATAAACTGAGTTCCTGAGAAAGAAACTACCACAATACAGGTTGTCAGATAGGTGTAAATGACAAATCAGAGTTTGGCATTATTAAAAAAGCAGTAATACTGAATCGTACAAAGTCACAGCACAAGCTCAACATATGCCAGAAGCACAACTCTCATCCAGTTGTAAACAAATACACAAATATATGTGTTGCTTAAATATCTAAAAGGGTATTATATGGCAAAATACTAAGGCAAGGTATATGAAATAATAATGTACTAAAACACAGAAACATTTCATGAGCTTCCTGGGATTGTTCATGACATAGTAATGTGGTGATTGCGGACTGTCATATTTGTGTCTTCAAATGCATTTGAGATATTTACACATGAAAGAATTGAACGGTAAGAATTTAGTACTTGGCTGGAAACAAAGTATTTGGATCCTTCCACGTATTACCAATGTGATGATCGTTGTCAAAGGTTTATACAGGAAGAACTGTTCTTAGCCAGAACTAGTTTTTTTCTTTTACATCGGAGAGAATCTGATCAGTTATCAGTTCTTGAGAAATACTCAGACTTGTTCAACAAAACAATGCAAAGACCACAGATGTATGAAGTGCAGCAACTCCTCAGGATTCAGGTTTCCTGCATTCAGATTAGTGATGTCACTACACATGGATTGCTACTGAATACTGCAACCTCTTTGTATTGGTTTCTGCAATATCTTTTTCAATAAGCCTGTTTATGTCTACAATTGATCCGCATACACCCAGACAACATGTCTGAAAAAGAGACCCGAGTTCTAGTGTAAACTGCATGCCAGATAGCAGAACCCCTCTTTTTAGTTGATTCCCGGTTATGACTCAGGAGCCTCAAAACCTGGGGTGCCCTATTAAGCTAAAAAAAGAAAAGTTAAATCTCCTACTGTATGCCAATTAAATAAATGATTTCATGTTTCCACTTCTATTAATGGCCACTGCCAGACTGAACAAAGACAAAACCTGGTGGGACTTTTATCATGGCAGATGGTGGTAAAAGAGAGCAGAGGTTCATGACACTTATGCTGGTTAGACTTCCTATTTCATTTGTTGGAGCTTGCAATAACTTATTCCTACGAAGTCTGAATAAATGTGTAACTAGACTTGGCCGTGGCAGCCACTATCTGTCACCCTTCAATTTAAAGGAAATCACTCAGTACAGAAATATAGGAACTTGCACTGCTGGCTTTCAAGCTCTCAGCCTGACATCCTCTAACTTTACTTCAAACTCAGGAGTTAAATGTTAAAACTGCATTCATGTACATGAACTATTACCAAAAATGTATCTTATTTGTGTATTACTCGGCTGCAGATCCTCAAATCATCTCCGAATTGGTGCTGACACTGTGCTTCCTTCTGGAGGGGGGCTACTTTTCTTCCCCATGGTCCCTGTGTGTGTTATAAGGCAGCCACCACTCCAAATTCACTCCCGGGATGGACTACATTCTCATGTTTAGTTTACTAATGTGTATTACTACATGGGTGGAGCTCATCAAGGGGATATTTCCAATTATTAGTCCTATCCATTAGATTATCCTTATAATTACATTTCTTACATCTGAGCATATAAATTAAGGTGTCTCTGAGATCTCTTTTTCAGACAGCTGATGTCAACCATTCAGATTCCAGGCCCGTTCACACCAGATGCGTTGCGACTGTGCTGGAAAAGTCTAATTGTACATACAAGGCAATTTGCTCACTTCGCACCATCGCAATGTGGTTGAGTGTTCTTTTTTCAGCGCAGTACCAGCGCATGGCACCGTGCCAATAGAACTTAATGAAATGTTACTCGTGACATTTCAATAATGTTCTAACAAAGAAAATTAAACAGTGCGATGCACTGGGATCGGCGCATCAGCACTGTTCCCTGTCCATCAGCGTGGCTTGTGGGTACAACTAGCCCTCCATGTTCTGTTAAAAAAAAAAACAAAAAAAAAACGGACTGGCTGTAATGAACTTATTACAGTTTTATTGGGACACAATACATTAGATTGTTTAATTTATTTGTATTTGATTAGGTTATGACTTCTTTGTTTACAGCAAATACTAAGACACAAGATTTGAGCCCAGCCAGACTTTTAGTTTTGGATAGATTTGGGAAGATTTAATACTGCTATCTGTGACTCAGTTGGAGAAATTCCTCCTCACTTTCTGTCCCTGCCTGTGACAGCAGGATAAAAGAGGGTGAGGGGGGGTTGTCACTAGGACAGGGAAACAAAGACCCTAATAATAAAGTGACCTCTACCATTTTACCGATTTATGCAATCTGTTTCCACTGAAGAGATTTATCATCACTTCCTGTCCCGGGAGGAAATGAGGGAAATTCTCTTTAAAAGGGACATACAGTAAATAAAAAGACTCTATCCCTTCCCTGTCCAAAACTAAAATGTTTTGGCTGGAGCTGTGCTTTAATATGACAGACACATTGTGGTGAGTAATGTACAACATCTGACAATCTTTCTTGGGAATCTGAAAATGGACAATGTGCGATAAGCAGATATCAGCTATGCAAATAACGTCTATGCAGCAGGAAGACTTATGGTGCAGAAGCCAAACACAACATTAATAGAAGGCCAAACTCATTCAGCTATTAAGATGCACCAGTTACCTGGCCAACGTATAAGAAGCCATGTCAGTTGATGGCTCAGCTCACAATATGACTTCCCCTTTGCGAGTATGTGACAGGAAAAGAAGCTTTGTAGATATATACAGAGTATTACAGACAATGACAGACAGAAAATATCATACAAGTCTTTACATCAACATTCTCTAATAAAGCCCCCACACAGCTGCCATCTTCCTCTAACCCGGCAATGGTCTCCTCATGGGCTATCACACTAATTACTACATCACCTTTCTTTCTTCCACTTACAGGGAGTCACACAGGACCAGCCCATGGACGTAGGGACACCTTGCAGACCATGCAGCGTGCACACAATTCCTCACACAGCCTACTACAACCCTTCAGGCAACGACGGAGCAGCCAATCAGTAGAGGCAAGGCAGAAATGAATGGCACAACACCCGCAGAATTATTTTTCTTTATAAAAGCAAAATAATCATTGGAATAATATTGCACAGAGGTGATGTCACATGTCGTGGGGATATACGCCTTTCATACATGGTGTGGGGTTATTTTATTTAGGTGCAATCGATGGAAGGACAATGCCACCTAAAACTGGGTGCTGGGAAAGCTACCGATTACACCTCCTCGAAAGAGATGTGTGTCTTTCAGCTTGCCAGTAAACCCAAACCTGTATAACATTTTGGGATGCCTTTGGCCTCTAAAAGGGATTCTTTCCTTTTTTTTCCCTTACCTGTGCTGGACTTTTTACATTAAAGGTCTGGCACTAGGAATGACAGGCGGCTATTAAGTGACATTGATATAGTGACATTCAGCCAAAGATCACCCATTTTTAAAGTGACCTGCCTTAAAATGCATCGAAACCCAAGTACAAAATGATGCTATATTGCAGCTTACAGTCCTTATATGTGGTGGCTGCATTTGTTTTCCCTTTCCTTTCCCCCTACTACTCCTGCCAGTAACATATCCCACCACCTACCTATAACATAGGAGGGGGGTGTTATATTGTTCACGTAGGTAAACTGTGCAGAGCTAATAATACTGCTGGAGATTTCAGTGCAGCACAGGCACAGAGCACAGCAAATTAAAAAAGAGCTATGGTCATAGTTCTCTTTTGGGTCACAGGAGAACATTTACTAATGTCCTCCAGTGACCCAAAGCTCAGCATATAGCGGGCTATATGTTGACAGTGCAGAGCCGCGCTGCAGACAGGAAAGATCCTGACAATATTGTCGGGATCCACCCCACTGGCTGATTTACAGCTGTCTCTGCCTTTTTAGAACCAGCTGTGCCCGCCCCCTCCCTTTTCTGTCCCTCCAGTAAGCGCTGGAAGAACAGAGAGGGAGAGGAGAATCCCTGCAGAGAGCGGTGGCTGACAGTCACTGCTCTGCAGGGAGAAGCTCATGAACTGAGCGATCGCTCAGATCTCGAGCTATAGAGCCAACATGTGACAGCTGCAGTGTCACACGTCAGCTCTAACTATGGGGATGAGTGTATTTCACTCTCCCCCATCATTCTCCTTTAAGAGCTCACAGGATTTCCAGCAGGATCAATATTTTTTGCACATATTGAACAGATATAGTTAACAGCTTTTAATGGCATATTTAACAGACCTAAAGGGAGCAAATAAGAGTAAGTTCATTGTTAGGGTTTACATACACTTTAAGCTCAAATGATTTCGTTCAGACTGACCACCCCTACTTGCACGTCCTCTAAGGCAATATGGCAGAAACAGGCTACGAAATCTTACAAACAAAATAGTAAAAGTGAGTCGTTTCTGCAGTCACTTTACATGAACACTCTCTATCAAACATTCCCCCATCCTGACAAGTCTTATCTTTCCCATTCAATAGTCAAATAAAATACCTAATATGAAACAGAAAAAAACAGCAGCACGTTATGTCATGTTAAAATTCTGCATAGACATATATAAAAACATACGTATTAGAAAATATATAAGTGCTCTTTCTAAAAAATATATATAGATTACTGTTGAGGTCGTCAATAACTGCGGTTTTACGTGTACAATACAAATATATGGCATGTACTTTGTATGGAACAATAGGCTCCTTCAATGGCCACAGGATACCAATCCGATAATCATGGATCCAAGCAGATTTCACTTCATCTGCAATGCAGCCCACTGCCGTACTGGCTATTGTGTGTCGCAGTACGGGATGGACGACGAGAGAAACCCCAATAATAGGTTGAAGTGAGTGGACTCATTTCTACTTTCACAAACTAGGATACAGCAAGTGAAAAGGATGGAGGTTTAAGAATGATGTATAGGTTCTCCGACACAGAACGTGCCTCCTCTGCAGACATCTTAGGAAAGGAGAAGGGGGAAGTATACCCACTAAGTCAGATTTTGCTGCCCGTTTGGACCAACTGACTCATCCAACTATCCAGAGTGATCTCCTGTTGCTTGAATATAACAAAGCAAACTGTGGCCTTCATCAGTCTTCCTCATCTTTGGTTTTTGCTGAGACCTTCGTAGCTTATACAGCTCACGTCAATGAATGGCTTTGTGAGTCGGATATGTGTGAAGGTCAAAACGGTGAAGTTCTAAAAAGTACCAAGTACATCCAAAGCTCAACAGATGTTCAGATACATCCGTTGTTCTTTGCCGCAGAGGCAAGAGGGTGACAATTTCCTTCAGAATGCTATGCAGTTTGTAAGGACACTTAGTCGCATCCATTTTCCGGAATTGCGCAAAGTTATGACACGTCTTTGATGGCAAGATCTTGTTGGCAAATAATACTATGAGCGTTTTTTAAAAAGCGCTGGCTGAGTTCACACATAGACTGGCTGGCAGCTTTCTGTCTCACCAGAGTTTGTCTTATTTTCTTCCTGCAGTTCTTCACACGGCAGGGCCTCCCCACGAGATGGCTTAGGGTAGCGAAATGGGTAGCCATTGTCATCAAAGAACCTGCGGAAAGTAAACTCGTAAAAAGCGTGCTCTGGGTGTTTGTTGTTGGGAGACATGAGCGTGTCCAAGGCCATTGTGCTGTCCCCACTGTCATTCCAAGGGCTTTCCTCATCGACCGGATCAAAGTTTGACGTGTCCATTGGGTGGCTGATTTTTGGGACATAAGGTGCTGGCTGCCGCCGAATTTCAGTAGAGAAGTCCATGGTACTAAAAAAGGGGTGAGCCTTTATTTCATCAGCTCCATTTCTCCCCAGTCTGCTTTCTGCTGCACAACAAAGCTTGATGATCAGATCTGTGGCTTCTGGGCTCAGGTTAACCTGGGGGGGAATGTGAAGCGTATTCTCCCAGTTTATCACCTACAAAATAATACATAAGAATTAGAAATATACAAAAGAAACTAAAAAGACTATGGACAGCTTACCAAATATCCATTTAAGTATAATCCAGTGTTCACAAAATAAAAATGGCCTTAAATTGTTAAAAGCATGCAGCCAGCAGGCCTATAAGGGTTCTTTTGACAAGATGTACTGCTAAAAATAGAACTTAACCCCCCCGGCCTTTTCTTTGCAAAAAAAAACCATACAGTCAATGCTTACTAGCCCATGCCTAGTGTATGCTGCATTCAAGGCACGGCTTGATAACTGTCACAGTTGACTGTGTGCATATGTCAGCTCTCAACCAATCTTTTAGAACCTTAAATGTTTGGTGTTATAACTGGTCATGTGTAAAGGCCCAAATGGAGGTTACAGTGACAATGTCCTTGGCACATAGGAGGATAGAAGGTTTTAAGGGCTATGGGGTGGGCTTGGTGTTCTTTTAAATATTCAAGAAGTCCTGCATCATTCCAAAGCATTTTTAGGCTTTACCGTTTCTATCCCTGCTCCCTATGAGAAGTGCACCCAAACTGCTATAACCAATAGCTTAAGAGCAGGTTTACACCGTTTTTTACACCAATGTGGTCCAGAAAATGGTGTGAATCTGCCCGCAGTTTCAGATCAGACAAAATGAGACAAGCAGTATTTTTCTGATCTGGTCTGGAACGGACTGCGCTGGTGGAAACAGAGGCCAGAAATAGCATAGGGATACATTAGGATACATTTTGGGTCCGGAAACAATCTGGTCTGGAGATGATCTGGATGTGGTGTGAATGGGCCCTAAAAAGGAAGAAGCAAACTGCAGTGTGAATAGCTCCATGGATGACAATAAGCAGTAATTTAACCTCCTGCTGTCCGTTGAGAAAAAACAGACGGACGGCAGACTCACACGGGTGGGTTCCCGTCATAAGACAGCTTTTTTTTCTGCGCGCACGGGCAGAAAAAACCTGCCCGTTCTTTACAGCCGTTACCGGCTGTTTGATATAACCCACATTAACCAATCAGAATCTATCTTTCACTGATCGGACTCCAATAGATTGATATTTGACTTATTGCCATGGGTTGCTGCATTCTGCACACTATTCTTCTTCCTTGCACTGTTGTATTGAATAATATAGCTGACTACTGAAGAACAACTGACAAATATGGCTGTAGGGACAAAAAGAAACATGACCTGAAGTGACACTTACCTTTAGCTGCGTTTCTGTAGGGTTAGATGCTAGGAAAGGAGGCTGACCAACTAGCATCTCAAAGAGAATGACTCCCACACTCCACCAATCACAGAGCTGTGTGTATCCTGCAAAACACAAATACAACAGTTTAGCACACCAAGAAAAATTGATAGATGACCAAACTCCACTTGGACTGGATCTTTGTCCTAGGAGAACTTTGTGTTTACTTTTAGAGAGGACCTTTACCCAGATCTTTAAAATAACAACACCTTTAGAAATGTTTAGTGATGACAATCTACAGACACATACTTCTAGATAATTGCCGGCTTTGTATTCTATGCATACCTTATTTCTCTTTTCTTCCCCAATCTTCTGACAGTGGCCATGTTTACTAAGGGTAGGTTACTAGCTCTCCTTTTACTTCCTGAAAATCTGGGACTAGGACATGTGACCATGCACATCATCTCAGGGGAGGAAATGCCTTTCCCTGAGATTTCATGAGATTTCCCAGCAATGCTCTGCTGATGTAACCCTCCCAGGATGCATTGCTTGGGCACATTGCCTCATTTGTGCCAAAAGTTGATAAACTCTATTTGTAAGTAAATGAAAAACATGTTTGTTTAACTAATGATTGGAAGATGATTTTAGATCAGCATGCAGAGCCGGATGCTGATGTGATTTTTAGTGAAAGGGGGTAAAAGTCCACTTTAAGTGTGTAGAAGTACATTTACTGCTGAGGTCACCACTACTTGTGTGGGGAGTTGTACATAAAAATACTTCCTTAGCTTGCCCCTGGTTTTCCTCCTGCCTCCGTGTACTACGGCTCACAAAACACTAGAGAAATACAGGCAAGTCTTTAATGAGGTCAAATGGCTCGTCTAGTCTTGCTTCAGGCTGCAAGATGGATTTGTTCTCCATTGCATTAGAGGGAAAGTGCGTGACCTCTGTATCACTCTTCTCATCTACATGAACATAATAAAACCGTTCTAGCGCTGAATCAGGAATATATGCTTCTTCTCAGGCTCCCTGAAGTCAAGGTTAGTGATGCATTGGGGGTTTTTTTTTTGGGTGGGGTAAAGGTTTTGATGCATGTTTCTAGCGTTATAGTGATGGAATCTATTCAAAATAAAAAGCTACTTTAACCAGTTGACATCCGCGGTGTTAAACCCCCTTCCTGGCCAGGCCATTTTTCAGTATTCAGCGCTGCGGTACTTTGACTGACATTTATTCCGTTTGCAGCGCTGTACTGAAATTAATTTTATACCCTTTTTTGGGGACAGATAGAGCTTTCTTTTGGTGACACAAGTGTAAAGGGCCCAATATAAAAGTCTATGACAACTCACACGTGTGACCTACTCAGTTGGGTAAGCAGCTGGAGGGGGGTGGGGGCTGAATTCAGGTCATGAGAACTAGGCAGGATGGATAAGTGCTTTTTATTTGGCAGTAAACTAACCCTTTAAAATGCCACTCTAGACAAACAGGTACATTTAAACTGACTCAGGACCCAGTGAATGCCCAAAACTGCCATCTCCTCAGCATTCATCTTCATCAGTAAAATCCCCATAACTGCCTCATCCTCATCTCAGCTGACCTTCTGAATGACCCTGAATCTGAGCAACAAGCATCCAGAATGGATCGTACTTCATTTCAGACACCACTCTTTCTTTAGCCTTACTCACACATAAGGGAAGATACTGCACAGATCACATGAGGGAAGAGGAGGGAGGAGCCCAGCATAATGAAAAGTTTGACGTATATAGCTCCAATGGACTATAAAAAACTAGGCTTAGGGTAAGCAAAGTGATCTTTCTGACTGTAACGCAGTTGTGTGTCCTAGATAGGATATAAAGCTTATTGGATTCTTTGTATTTGTTGCCAGGAGTTGCACTCTATTTTACCTTTTCTATAGCTTAGCCTTTTGGTAGCTGCTGGTCTCCTTTTATATACCACTCACCTTTGCGCAGGAGGACTTCGGGGGCTATGTAATTAGGAGTCCCTACTAACGAGTGAGCCAGACATCGATGGTGCTGTCTCTTTGCTCGCTGTTCCAATGTCTTCAGTCTATCCCCACACCTGCAATTAGTCACATCATCCCACAGCTCACTGGGCTCCATACTGTCCTGCCGTATATGGTTCCCTTAAATGAAAAGTTACAAGAATGGAAAATATGTGTATTATATTTTTATTGGTAAAAAGGTAAAATAATTTTGAAATTGCAAATTAAAATCAGATCTGTAGAACTCGCATTGCTGTTAAAACTATGGTGCTCTGAAAAAAAGAGACTGTACCTTTATTGAAGCTTTTTCTGAATGTCCAAATCAAAGTCTACACTTTTTTTTATTATTGTTTGCGTTTCTATGTTGCAGGAAGTGACAGGAAGTGAGGGAATATCTCTGAAATGGAGCCCCCCAATAGCAGTATAACCCAAAATGTTTCTAATCCTTGCCTACTCTATCCAATACGTAAAAAAAAAAAAGAAGTTCAGGCTGCATATTCTATACATTGTAAAGTCTATCATCAGCCACATTTGTAAGCATTGCATAGAGGGGAAAAGATTTAACATTTCTTATTTCTTTCATTGATCCCAACAAGATGTTCGCACATTCCTGTTCCTAGTATACCAGAAAAAAATTAAGGGAGTAGTTATCATTGTGACAGGAAGGTTAAAAGGAGAACAATGAGGTGAGTGCTTTTCACTCATCCTCATAGTTCTAGCCGACCTGTGACAATGAAACTGTCACAGGTCGGCTCAGTAGATCGGGAAGTGAGCGAACACATACCGTCGCTCGCTCACTTCTCGATCATCTCCCTGCAGACAGCTGTGACTGTCAGTCACCGCACCCCACAGGGATTCCCCCCTCCCCTCTCCGATCCTCCAGCGCTGACTGGAGGAACAGACGGGGCTGGAGGCGGGTACAGCTGGCTCTGCCTCTAGACAGCTGTCACTGGGTGGATCTCGACAGCATCCCTGGCTGCGGCACTCCGATATACTGAGGTTTGGGTCACGGGTAAAAAAAAGAACAATATACAGCGCTCTCCGGTGGATGCTATGGGGAATGTATGTGGTAAGTGAGCTATATGGTATGCAGCCCAGGAGGGGAATGCCTGTAAACAATACAACAATAAAAACACAAGGGCGCAATAAGCTTGATGGTGTATTTTCTAGAGACTGCCTGTCTCTGTGTCAAGAAGGGGGAAAAAAGGTGGTGCACGTATATTTGAATCCCAGGAACTTTCTAGCCGTACACTCCGTACACCAGCATCGTGGAGCAATACACATTGGTCAACTCGATCCTCCATTAAGGCCGCCCTGCATCCAGTTCCTGGGATACAAATGTAAGTGCACCACCTTTTTTTCCCCTTCTTGACACAGAGACAGGAAGTCTCTAGAATATACACTATCAAGATTATTGCGCCCTTGTGTTTTTATTTTTTGGGTCACGGGAGGACGCTAGTATATGTCCCCCCCCTAGAACTATGGGGAAAAACACTTGGTGTTTAACCAAGCAATAAAAACACTGAAAATTTCCAACCTTTCAACACTGCCCCACCCCACAAAAATTAAACTTTTGGGAAGGGCTAGGCTTTGTATGTATGTTTGTATTGGGCTTTGTATGTATTTTTAACCTACATTTAGTAGAAGTAAGTGAATCTAAAAACAAATGGCATTCATCAGGTAGGAAGATTTTGCCAAATTAGCATTCAAGTCTGCTGATAAAAAAAGGGAGATTCGTAGAGAAAAGGGAACAGCTGAAATGCTAAATAGCTTTACCCATGTGTCTAGTCATTTGTTTCCCATGACTGGGTTGTCACATCGATTGATAAAACTAGTAACAATTCAGATAACTAATATATTTATTTCAGAGGAAGATTAACTGGAGAAAAATGGTAACCAGAGAAGAACCTACCTTTTTGATAGTATTTTGAATTGTGTGTCCACCTGAATCCAGTACAAAGGCCAAAGTCTGTTAGCTTTATGTGGCCATCCAGGTCTATGAGAATGTTATCAGGTTTTATGTCCCTGTGGATAAACCCCATCTTGTGGACACTCTCGATGGCCAGAGTCAGCTCTGCGATATAAAACATGGCCAGGTGCTCAGGAAACACCTCCATTCGTATAAGCAGGCTCATCATGTCTCCTCCTGGGATATAGTCCATCACAAAGTACAAGCTGTCTTTGTCCTGGAAGGAATAGTAAAGCTTCACTACCCACTCATTGTCAGCCTCTGCTAGTATATCCCTCTCAGCTTTCACATGTGCCACCTGGTTTCTGTTCAAAACGTCCTTTTTTCTCAAAGTCTTCATGGCATACAGAGCTTTGGTGTCCACTTTACTGGCGAGGCATACTTCACCAAAGGCACCAATGCCCAGGGTTTTTATCTTCACAAACAAGGACTTGTCTATTTTGGCTCTTTTTAGTCTATTGTAGTTGGATTCCTTTTGGTACAGAATTTTTCGCATTTGCTCTTGAACAACTTCACAAAGACCAGCCTACAATTTACAAAAATAAAATGTTATAGAATATATGGAACAATTATTTATTTCTACAAGACAGTGTGAAGGTCCTTATTGCTTCTTCCCCTTCCCCAGTTTATCTGTGCAAGGGAGTGTAACAGGCTTAAATGTTGCTCATAGGAGTTGGCATACTCTACCCACTCACACCAAATCTTTTTACATGAGATTCATAAGTGGTTCTATGGGGAGGAACTCTCAAACTCACTAAAGACGTCCAAGAACTATGGTTTTCCTGGTGTTAAAGTAATAGTCTTATAGAAGCTTTCTTGGCTGAGCTTAAATCGAGTTCACCAAAATTACTGAAAAGGCACCACTACGGATTACAGATGTTAGGAATGAGAAAGTTAGGAGAAAAAAATACTGTAATGTGTGGCCAAAGGGGTCTGACTTTAGATCATCACCAAACCATATAAAGTATTTCTCCATCTGACACCTGGGACCTACAACAGGTTGGGGATTCTAAATAGTCAGGCAGGAGTGAAATACACTATGTGGAAGTATCTTAGCTGGATAGGTTTATCCTTCGTGGAAAAACCTGTATCAAAATAGGAACCCGAAACTTCCTTCCAGTCTGGCTCAGTCAGGTCTGGGATGTCTACATTCCAGTGTTCATACACACAGGAAAGTTTGGAAGGCCCTGCCTGAGATAATGACCCCTAAATCATGGAAATCAGCTGTTTATGAGTTAAAGGAGAGCGGCCTCTAATGTGGACAGGCCAAAGACTACATCTGGTAACCCAAACTGGGCTGCAGTGACAGTCACATGCCTAAGTTGAAGGTATTCAAAACTTCAGGCACCGAAGATGTACGACTCCCGCTTCAGTAAAGAAAATAGCTTGTAGGGTCACTTCAGGTACAATTAATGCACATACTGTATTTGAGCTTCACTTTAGCTAACCGAGATCCATATGGCACCATCAAAAAGTGTTCACGCTTGGATTATACAGGATGGGGTTGTTAGAAGAGACAGCTCTGGGTTATTTTGGAAGTAACTGCTGACATTGCTTTTAGATTTTAAGGGACCTAGCCAAGATGGAGATCCCATCAGTGATATGTAGTGATTGCCTATGAATAAGATTTGAGAGAGTTTAATTCGAAGAGACTACAGCAGCCTTTGTAACCATGGCTGTGGTATTAATCTGTGGAAATACCCTCCAATGCAAATGCGCCAATTGGGAAGCAATAATACCTTTCCAAATCTGGCAGTGCCAAACCACCCTGAGACATTGGGAGTTGCAGCAGGGAGAATCAGGGGTGGGGGGGCATAATAAATTAGGTAGTTTAAGCAGTTTTTTATTGAAAAGGTACTAGCAGGCAGGCTTTTTGTGACAGAAGAGACTGTGCGAGTCTATATTTTTTTTAGAATCACTTTTTGGGATTAAACCTAACTTGTATAAGAAGTCACCAACCTGTCCAGTTATGATGAAGTCATTTTGTTTTATTTTGTATTGATTTAAATTTCATATTTCTGGTTTTGAATTGTAGCCCTGATGAAGAGGGATTTTGTTTGACCCATGTTATCCTATCTATGAATAAACTAATAACATTTTTGGACTCTAAAGCCAATGGTGTAGTGCCATCAATATCTACTTTCACCATAGTATCTCATACAGGGTGCTACTGCAAGACCCCTGGTGTGTGAGAGCTGCCTATCCAGAGCCACTGAGGACCTATAAGTGCAAGTAAAATAACACTAAACTTAGAAGTTAAACCTAAAAATGCATTCAAGTACCTTAACTATTAACAAAAATGAAGCTTATTTGTGTATCACTTGGCTGCAGATCCTCAAATCATCTCTGAATTGGTGCCGACACTGTCCTTCCTTCTGGAGGATGGCTACTTTTGTTCCCCATGGTTCCTGTGTGTGTTGTAAAGTAGTCACCACTCCAAGCGCAACCCTTTGATAAACTACAATCTCAATACAAATTAGCTAAATGTGAGATTGTAGTCCATCACAGGAGCGAGCTTGGAGCGGTGACTACTTTACAACACACACAGGGACCATGGGGAACAAAAGTAGCCACCCTCCAGAAGGAAGGACAGTGTCAGCACCAATTCAGAGACGATTTGAGGATCTACAACTGAGTGATACACAAATAAGATTCAGTATTGTTCCTAGTTAAGGTTAATCAGGCAATTGGGAGGCCGCTCCATGTTCCCCTATGGCACTGCCGGTCAGAGGAATTTTTCCTTTGACCGGAAAGTTACGGTATCGGGGAAGGTATAGGAGCATTTGGGCGAAAAAAAATTCTCGGTATCTGTGCATCCCTACTAATTTGTATTTAAGTTATAGTCGATCATGGGAGTGTGAGATTGGAGCTGTGACTACTTTACAGAACACACAGGAACCATGGTGGACAAAAGTAGCCACCCTCCAGAAGAATTTTTTGATTTTAAGGATCTACATTTTTGTTAATAGTTGAGGTACTTGAATGCATTTTTAAGGTTTAACTCCTGAGTTTAGTGTCAGTTTAATGGATATTAAACTTGAATTACCGTATGCCCACAATGCCTCGCACCAAGATCTATTTACAATGCATCTTTTGGTGGCTGGCTTGTTTTCAACCTCACTACCAACAATGTCTACAGCCAAATTTAGTCATGGGAAATAGAACACAGGAGTGACAGAAGACTGCCTGCCTTTGTTGTGCTTTATTTAGGCCTCAAGGATGGAATAAAAATAAATGGTTTTAAATCAAAGTGCAGCCGCACACGGAAGAGAGCCAACTTGTGCTAATTATTCCCAACCAGCAAACTAAAACATTCTAGGATCTTCCGCACCACGCAAACATCCCACACCTCTAGAAATATGCAGCAAGAACAAAGCACTGACTGACCGCCTACCAGCATCAGCGCTCATGACTTATACCGAGCCCTACGCAGTGCAGTCAAGCTACATTCAGGATCGGCAGGGATCCGCATAAAAATAGAGGTATAATTAGTGTTACAAAAATATACACAAGCCAGTCATTCAACTGTGTGGCTAAAACTGTAACAGCTATTGCTGCCATAGGGCAAGCTGAGCATATTCTTACAAACAGAAGAAAAACAGAATATCATACTGCTTATCCATATAAATAAAATCTTCAACAACTTTGTAATGCCCAACTCTATCCAAAACTTATTTTATTATGTCACAGTGACGGAAGTGACTGGGGATTTCTCCAATGTGGACAGGCACAGGTAATAAAAGCTCTTTTAGTAGAGTGGGAAAGGTTAGATTCTCTCATGTTTTCTTGGCATTTGTGTCTTCCTGTCCAAGTGATGCCCATGAACTTGTTTTTTGTGTCTGGTAATAAAAGCTTGGTTTAGACAAAATGTGCTTAGAATCTGCTTGTGTGTGGATTGCCCTGAAGTCAGAGGCTAGGTTAAAAAAAGCTGATGACACACATTGTGCAAAACTTCTAATATCCACCCAATGATCCAGATCATACTGATCTGTCGTTATGCATGGATGCATAAAGTTCAGACATGCCCGAACTCAGGCTTCAACTATTTATGTATGGCCATGTCAACTTCTCCTCCAAATAAATGACTCCTGCCATTATGTAATGCCCAGAAACGATCTAAAGCAAAAACGGCAAGGTAACTTGTCGAATAAACCTCTGCCAGATCAACCCATCTCTCTTCAGTCTGTTGGGCAAGACATCTTCCCACCTCGGTTGACATTTGCCTGTCAATGGGTAGATAAATATTAACATACTAGTCTAATGATCAACATGATTTCTCTCCTCCTTCCTTTCCTGCAGGATCCCATTCTTGTGAAATTTGGAATCCTCAGGTTTCCCAGAAGGCTGTAGGAAGGCTGAGATACAGCTGGTGCCTAGAAGAGAGGGTCTGCAGTAAGTTCATTATTAACATGTTGTTGTTTTTTTAGATAGGCTCTAGATAGGCAGAGCCAGCTGTCACTCACGCAGCTGGGTGGATCTCGATAGTAATGTCTGGATCCGTCCCGACTGTTTAGCTATCTCAGTATAACGTGAGCTGTAGCTCGCTATAGACTGAGCTTTGGGTCACAGGAGGACGCTAGTATATGTCCTCCCGTGACCCTTAAGAGAATTATGGGGAAAACACTTTTAAGTCTATTTTATACTAAAAAGCTCTACTTTAAATGCACATACAGTTTTAAAAAATGATCTTACTGTTGTAGGAATTTAAGGTACAGCTATAAAAGCAGACAAGCAAATGTAAAAGACACAAATAGAATGCAACTCTACATTCCTTAATACATAATTGAAAGGGTTTTTTTTGTTGTTTTTTTACTGCAACCACTATATGTACCTGAATTTGGTATCAGCCTCTTACAATACCCTATACAACAGCACTCAGCTTGGGAGAGAAAGGGACAGGACAGGAAATCAATCAGGTATGCTGCATGCAAATGCGCTGACAAGGAATATGCTGACAGGAGGTAGAGTGATGGTCTCTTTGTCAAGTCAGAAGGCTGAGGGTGGAGAGAAGACAACGCTATATGTATTTATTATAACTGGTGTCGTCCACTTGGCTTTACTGTGTGAGAAGGACATTTAAATCTCAGGACTGGTTTGGACAGAAATACAAATCCTTTGGCAGGAAAAACATTTCAATGCATTTGATCCATATACACAGCAGTTTGGGTTAGAAAAAAAAACCTCACGAGTAAAAATTTAATTGAGATATGATTAAAAAAAAGCAATATAAATGGTTTACCACACGGGAAGCTACAGACAGCTGAAGTCATATACAAATCTTTTCCTGTAAAGGCTAAAATTGCTCCCACCCTTCCCTCTGTTTTCCCCTATGTTCAGTTTGAATTTCCCAGGTATGTGGCTGGTTTACTTTAAATAAATATTTAAGCCTAATGTAATATAACGCAATATAAAATAATGGAATTTATTTACACAAAGTGAGTCACCTTGCCTCTCACTACTCGAATAGTATGTTTTCAAAGAGCTTCTACACTGCATTAACTGAAGGGAAGAATTCCTCTTCAAGACAGACAATATTTGGTCTCCTATTCTTAGGCTAAGTGCTCGGAATAAACAGCTTGGATGAGTGCGAGTCATTCCTTAATAAATACTGAACAGAGAATTTTATGAATTTAATATATACAAACAAGATTGGAGTCAGAGGAAAAGCTTCAAGAATTCTGGCTAGATTACTCTTTCTTCAGCTGCTCACAGGATAGTCAGAATTAGATGATCTGTAAATAAGTGGAGCAGCAAAATGCCACTAAATATAGTAATACATGACAGCTTCATCTCATTTAAACAAATCTGTAATACTGATTGGTGCCCAAATTGTGCCTGTAGGTCTTTGCAACCTGCTTCTATTACTGCATACATGCCAATGTCTCATTAGTCACCATACTGCATTAAAATTAAAAAGCATTTTAACGTTCAGAGGCATCAAAGCTTTGTTTGGCAAAATGTCCTGGGAATTGGCTGTAACAGCCGGGTCTTAAGAGGCTATTGCTGATATGTACAGACACCTCTAGGTTTAGTGCCAAGGTTTAGTGCCAAAAGGGGACAGGGGCTAGTCTTAAAGTGACACTAAACTCAGGAGTTAAATCTTAAAAATGCATTCAAGTACCTCAACTATTAACAAAAATTTATCTTATTTGCCTATCACTCGGCTGTAGATCCTCAAATCAAAAAATTCTTCTGGAGGGTGGCTACTTTTGTCCACCATGGTTCCTGTGTGTTCTGTAAAGTAGTCACAGCTCCAATCTCACACTCCCATGATCGACTATAACTTAAATACAAATTAGTAGGGATGCACAGATACCGAGAATTTTTTTTCGCCCAAATGCTCCTATACCTTCCCCGATACCGTAACTTTCCGGTCAAAGGAAAAATTCCTCTGACCGGCAGTGCCATAGGGGAACATGGAGCGGCCTCCCAATTTCCTGATTGGCCGGGAAGCTGGCTCCATGCTGATTGGCTGGAAAGCCGGTTTCCTGGCCAATCAGTATGGAGCTGGCTTCCTGGCCAATCAGGGAGGCGGGTCATTACTCGCCACCCATCTTCCAGATTGCACAGGAAGCCGCCTCGATGCTGATTGGCTGGGAAGCCGATATTCTGGCTAATCACAATCGAGCCGGCCAAACAACATGGAGACAGCTGCCCGGGCAATCAGGAAGCCAGGCAGCATGTCACTACATGTTGCCCGGCTTCCTGTTTGCCCAGGAAGCCGGCTCCATGCCAGTGGAAGCACCGGTATTCGAAAAGCTGGTATCGGTGCATCCCTAAAAATTAGTAACCTAAACGAGATATAGTAGTTCATCAAAGTAGCGAGCTTGGTGACCACATTACAACACACAGGGACCTTGGGGAACAAAAAGTAGCCCCCCTCCAGAAGCAAGGACAGTGTCAGCGCCAATTCAGAGATGATTTGAGGATCTACAGCCGAGTGATACACAAATAAGATACATTTTTGTTAATAGTTAAGGTATTAGAATGTATTTTTAAGATATAAATCCTGAGTTTAGTGTCACTTTAACTAGAAGAGAAGCTGAGGCTTTGATACAGCCTTGGCTCCAGGGTCCTCCCCTGACACACAGAAACAAATGTGAAGACAAGCATAGTTACAGCAGGTACATGGATGCCTTCACTTTACCATGTCTGTTGAAACATTTTTTTGGTGACATGAATGTTTACCATAAACCCAAAAGTAAAATATATGGTATTAGTAGCTGATAGGACTTTAAACAAATGTTTGTGATATTTTACTTTTTTTTTTTAATTTGTGACCATTTTTTTAAACTTTTTTTTTACACTTAACTTTATTGCTATCACAGAGGACTAGGAAATCCCCTATGTGATAGCCAATTCACATAAAAAGGGACCTGCAGCTACTGCCATCGCTGGCTGTTTACACTGCGTCCCAACTTTTTTGGAATTGGGGTTGTATTAATGGTTAAGTGATAGGATAGGTAAAGGTCTCAGGATAAAGTTACAGTAAACCTGTAGCATTGCCCTTCGTGGTGGCCCCACCTGCAACTTACCCCATGCTCCCCTGTTGTTCAGGAGCAAAGAGAGTTAGCCCTGTGTAAACCGCAGGTCTCCATTTGGAGCTTACACAGGGTTGAGGCCTCTCTCCCCACCTGCATTTAACAGGGCTTAGATTTTAAACTGCCAAATGCAAAGCACAAGCTCATTTCCAATGGCCAGTATAAGCTGCTGATGGGATCTCTACTTAAGACAACCTGTTGCTTTTGTCCTGCACTTGCCATGAGAGATATTTGTGGGATGTCATTGTTACATGCTTAGGTATGCCTGGCTTCAATAATTTAAAGCCCCATTAGGCACTGAAAAAAAATAAACTCAAGAAAATCGTCTTAATGCCTTATCTATCTAGAGGTTTTTGGGCCAGTATTTTAAAGTGCTGAAGCCAAAGCATCAGCATAAAAGCCAAGCAACTGTCAGGAAAGATCAGCAGTGGCTAGCTACATATCTGTAATAGGAGAGGTATACTGTAAGTGATAAGAGTTCATTTATAGAAGTATTATTAGACGAATAGCTGTTAGAGATATGTGATGGTAGGAAGTATAACAAAAAAGGGTGAATATAATTACCTCTGCCATCTCCTGTTCTAGCTGTAACCTTCTATTGATCTTTTGTTGGTAGGTTTTCAGGACATTCTCCACATGCTGTTCCATGTAGAATTTGAAAGCAAAGGGCGAGTAGCTTTTAATTCTAGACTCCCGCTTCTCCTCATCTCGGCTATTTTTACGCACCGGTACAGGTGATGTCTGAATCTGCTTTTTGTCCTTTCCAGATTTTGTGGCTTTAGAACTCTTGCTTGCTTTCTCATGTTTTACATCTCCACTGGCTTCTTGTGTTTGGTTGCAGGTTACATTATCAATAATCCGCAGGTTCTGCTCTACACCTTTACTTATGGAGTTCACATCATGCTGCTCTGAGCTGTTCTTGAGCAAAATATGCTTTGGATATGGTGGTGGTGGGAATCGCATATCCTGGTTGCCATAATCCACTTCAATCCCATAAGGACCTGGCCCACTGACAGATAATGGATGTGACTCAAGCAGCTCTGCATTTTCTGGTACCTGTGATTGTGATGCTAGCCATCCAGGATGGGATGGACCAACAGCAGTCTGAGGCTCTGGCCTCACTACCCTCATGCTCTTCACTGGCTGAAGAATATGGGTGGAAGTAACAGTGGTGATGGTATTAGCTGAATCGGGTTTGGTTTGAGGAGCTTGCCGCAGTTGCACCTGTTTAGGCTGTTGGTGGTTATTGAAAGAGTTGGTGCGGCTTGGTACTTGAGATTCTGTTCTAAAAGAAACATGTTGTCGTGGAGAAGCATCTATTCCAGCACCCTGAAGAGAATTACGGCGGTGCTGGGCGTTTGGCCACGGGCAGACACCACCCATATCATACATATCTATGTTTAAACTATTCTGTGATGGAGGTAAAATATTTGGTGTTGTGTCAGGATACTCATTTGCATATGGAGATCCCCTTGACATAACAAGCATCTGGTGAGAGGAAGGACTTGACTGCTTGTGGTGAGGGTGTGGCATGTAAAGCCCTGCTGGTGCTTGCTGATATGCATGACCTGGGCTAGTTTGTGGCACTGGACCTTTGCCCTGAATATTTACGTAACTGCTTTCTTGTTGCATTTTGTTTTGAAATGATGGGGTTCTTTGGACACCATACCCCATAGGGTCCCCCTGGACAATAAGGTGCGGTCGGCCATAATGGGGGCTGTTGGAAGCATGGGTAGGCTGCAAAGGTAGACCTTGACTGGTGTGGTTCCCCATAGTGTACGTTATTGCAGCAGACTCAACACTGTTGGCATACGCCTTCTGCTGATGTTGGTGGCCTCCAGGAGGGTTATGTGATGGAGGCCTCTGTGATGGTCCATTCATACCCCCAGCCTGGGGAGCAGAGAGCAAGAAGTCCATGTATTGCCGTGGTACTTCATTAAGCACAGTGGAACCTTCAGCAGGAAAGCCAGGCCCCTCATATGGTGCATTATTAATTGGGTGATATGGTGGAAATGGTTCACTTTGTCCTTCAAAACTTGATCGATGAAGAACATTATTTGGACCTGTGCCTTTACCTATAATATGAGAGATCAAAAAAGAAATATAAAATATTAACAGACCAGCTTAGCATTTAGTTATGATCTAAGTTAAACTGAGAACACTACCAAATTCTGTTACCTATTTGGTCAATTATTTCATTATGGGCCGTTTTGTTTTTTGTGCTTCAAGACAACACCCCCACCTACCTTTGCTTTTTAATTTGCCATTTTATGCTTATGCTAAGTATCCATAAAGCCAAATGAAAACATGTAACACACAGGTCGGAATATTACTTAAACAAAGTTTGTTTCCAAATGTATAATATCAAAGCGCTGGGCAAACTGTTGGTGCGTTATAAATCCTGCATACTAATCACTGGTCTGCTTATGGTGAAAAAAACCCATAAAATAATGTACCCATTTAAAAACAGCTAGAGTGTACCAAAACCCCCCGTGTGTTTTGAGTTTCTTAAAGCACCGCTTGAATGTGTAGATGTTTTGTCAGGACCCCCTTAATATTTTACAAATGATTCCTACACAAATCTTTAGGGTCCAATCACACTTATGTGTTGTGTTACCAAACTTGAGGGGGCACTGTGTAAAGGCAGGGCATTCATTTCAAAGGATTGTCAACAAGGGTCAACCAATGAAAAAATTATTGATTTCATTATATTTGAAAGCATCATCACTTTGCAGCACTTTTTCACAAACGCCTACAGCGTTTGCACAGTACTGAATTTGTGTTGTTTTACGCTACCATTCATTGCAGATGGGATTTCTGTTTTTTCACTTAACATACAACATGCAGAAACAGAACACAGAACCTAAACCAAATCAAACTTTAGTGTCTCCACTCTTTGCCTAAATAAACATCATGTATTTTTCCAGGTACACTTGCACACAGTTAAAAGGAGAACTACGGGGTCAGGGCTTTTCCCCATAGTTCTCCTTAGGGTAACGGGAGGACACAAACTGGCGTCCTCCCGTCACCCTAGGCTCAGTAGGCAGAGCCAGCTGTACCCGCCCCCTCCACAGTCCGTTCCGCCAGTCAGCGCTGGCAGATCGGAGCGGGGAGAGGGGAATCCAGCCCCTCCCCTGTCACGGCAGAGAGCCGTGACAGGAGCGAGAGGTGAGCGAACCCGGTATGTGTTCGCTCACCTCCCGATCTACTGAGCCGACCTGTGACAGTCTCATTGTCACAGGTCGGCTAGAACTATGAGGTGAGTGAAAAGCACTCACCTCATAGTTCTCCTTTAAGAGATTTTGCAGGCATATGGTCCAGTGCATGAGCAGACAATTTTGGCAAACAGGTATTAATGATCAACAAGATAACATGCAAGTTAAAATACAACCATTAAAACAAATGGAATCAGCTGTGTAGGAGTAATGAAACTAAAGCTGGCTATACATTGGTTACATTTTGGCCAAGCAGTGTGAGCCCCCATTGATATTTCAATTGAGCTTTGTCAAAGCAACCAGCCAGAAAAATCTCGGTCAAACGGTGACAATTGGCCAATCAGCAGTAGTCGTCTCTGTTCCGGTATTCTGACAGCAGCACACATGTGGAAGACAACAGACATGCAGCAAGGAGGGGGGGGGGGATTCCTCCATCCGTGCTATTACAATAGCAAGACACTGCATCAACAAGATCTCTCAGAGCAGACATTTCAATGTAGACAGGTGTTTCCAGATGTTCTGTCCAAGCTCTTCTGCACAAGCACCAAGAAAAAGGCAATTTCGAAAAATGAAGTGGTCAGCCAAGCAAACATGCAGCAGCTGAAAGGCACATCATGCGGACTTTTCTTCCCAATCTGAAGATGTTCAGTGCCACCATCAGCTCAGGCCTGGGAGACCCCATCGGACTCTGATACGCCTAGCTACGGTCCAGAGAAATCTGGTCAAAAGTGGTCCTCAATGGAAGACTTGCAGCTAATTACACAGAAAAATGGTCATGATTTGCCGATGCATGAAAAGAGAACTGGTGTGCAGGAAAATGGGAAACAAAATGGCACAAAAGGGATGAGCGCACTAACAGCTGGGTGAAAACTCTAGGGTGAATACACTTTAGGAAGTAACTCACAGTGTGCAAGCTCTATCAAACAGGGAAAGCAGCCCAGGCCAGCTGAGTCTGTACATGAACCATACATCATTAATAAGAGTGGTACATCCTGAACCTGTCAGAAGGATGTACCAGTGACTAAGAAAGCCTCCTCTACAATATCAGTAACTGTGAAAGGAATAACATTCATGCACATTACCTGGTGATGTCTGTTTGATGACTTGGACAATCTGCTCATTGCGAGGGTCCAGATAACCCATCTTACTGATAAATTCCAAAGCTGCTTCAATGCTTCTACTTCCCGTCTGCTTCAATGCCCGTATTGCCATTTCCTAGTGAGAAAAAAAGAATGCTCTCAATTTCATATTTAAACATTCATATTCACTTGTGCTTTCTTGTTTTTTTTCCATATCATTTCTAAACTGGAAATTCAGCCTTGAGGTGCATGGAAGGAGAAGAACATATACACTCAGATTTTCAGGTATTGGAGATACTGTATTCTCCTCAGAGATGCTTTGGATCACTTTTGTAGCACACTGATCTGGCTTGCAGCTCCACAACACAGTGAGCTTTAAGCCGGCTCAGCAGCTGTAACAGCACAGTGATCACAGAAATGACCTATCGAAGTGACCACAGTGCTGGGACCCCTGATTTGCTGTTGAGGGTATGCCTCAGACCCTAAGGGGCCCAACAACAGCATTAACTCAAAGAGTGCTGGTCCTTCCACGAATTAGCGCTCATTTTACCGTATGACGGGATTATTCCGTCATGGGTCTTTAATGAACTGAAAGACCATGACGGAATAATCCCGTCCTCAGTCGAGAAGGGGTTAAGAAAGTACACTCCCATTGAACCTGTGAGTAGTTACATAACGGCTGGTTGCAGTGGATTACAAAAAACATCAGGTTTTCAGCATTAAAAGCTTCTTGATTGGCTTAATTTGCTGCTTAGATCCGCTCTCTAAGAAAACAGGCAGAACATAGCTCATGATATGACTTTAGGTTTCCATTCTGAATCAGGATGGATTATATTTATTTTTCTTGTACCACAGAAGCTACTAAAATAAGAGATGTTATGACTGCTTGAGGCCTTGGTGATGTCAGAACAGGAACAGGTTTATAGTAACCCTCAATTATATCATCAGATGAGATGCCACCCACAACACACCGTTTACATTTGTGGCTTTCCTGTCATTAAATGTGAATGATCACAGGTAGAAAATAAAAAATGACCCAAGCATTGTGCTAAAATTATACATGTCTCTTAACAGTGAGAAAAAATATTTGCAGGATAATACCCTCTAGGGCAGTCATCACTTGAATGTGCGTCCCCATTCAAAGGTTCCCTTCTATTGCTGGTCAGTTATATGTATAGCCAAAACATTTTATTTGTAGCTAGAGTAGAGAAAAGTTAAAACCATTATCAGTTTTGTTGGTTTTTTTTTTGCTTTCTTTGTCCTGCTTTGCACAACTTTCCAACTTGGAGTCACAACAGGTAGTGAGAGGAAATCTCCCCAAAGTAAGGGGAAGAACATACAATTGTCTCTGAAATAAATTGAAACTGAGCATGTAAATGGCACCCATTATTGTTTACTCTATATTTTAAAAAACTTGATTTTGATTCAACAGAAGAATATTTTAAATAATTAAACAAACACAAATGGCATGGACAAAAACAATGGGCCCCTAACCTAATATTTTGTTGCACAACTTTTAGAGGCCATCACTGTAAAAAAGCCATTTCTTGTAGCTCTTAATGAGACTTCTACACCCGCCAACAGGTAGAGGTAGTTTGGCCCATTCTTCTTCAGCAAACTGACTGTATGTTTCAGCTCTTTTCAGAGATGTTCGATGGGATTTAGCTCATGACTTAAAGAAGGCCACTTGAGAATAGTCCAGTGTTTTGTTGTTAGCCATTCTTGGGTGCTGTTAGGTTTATTATCCTGCTGGAAGACCCATTACCTGTGACTTAAACAGAACGTTCTGACAATGGCCAGTACACTTTGATCCAGAATTCCTTGAGTCTTAAGATTTCATTATGTCCTGCACAGATTCAAGGCATCCCATGCCAGACACAGCAAAGCAGCCCCCAAACATATCCAAGCCTCCTCCATGGTTCACAGTAGGTACAGTGCACTTTTCTTTGAAAGCTTCATATTTTTCATCTGTGAACATAGATTTGAGGCGATTTGCAAAAAAAAAAAAGAAGCAGTTTTGCCTCACCTGCCCAAAGGACATTCTCCCAGAAGCATTGTGGCTCGTCAATTTGCATTTTAGCAAATTCCAGTCTGGCTTTCACATCTAAAATTTTCTTTCTGACCTCTTCAGACAACTTTCCTTTGCTTTATCTGGTCTATGTTCAGTGTGGTGCACATGAAGATACCAAACTGCAGAGTGACTACTTTTCTCCATTTACATAGGATGACTTAAGCTGGCCATACACCTATAGATTATCTGCAGATTTTCTATGGTCAGATAGAAAAAGTGCAACAGATTTCTCCCATCTACGCTAAACTGAGTGGAGGAAGGAATCTCCCACTGGGCCAAGCTTCAGTATCTTACTAGTCGGCCCCGCTGGCTCTCAAAATACCTGAACAATCGGATTGGATGCAGGCATTGTTCAGGTATTTTGAGAGCCAGCGGTGCCGACAAGCAAGATACTGAAGTTTGGCCCAGTGGGAGAGTCCTCCATCCACACAGTTTAGTGTAGATGGAGGAATCTGTTGCACTTTTTCCATCTGACTATAGGCTGATAGAAAAAATTTATAGAAAATCTATAGGTGTATGGCCAGCTTAACTTATTACAAGGTTGAAGACAGGTGATACTAAATTACAGAAAACCACTAGTTTGAATTATCACTATAATCCAATTATTTGTATTCTTTTATAGGGGTACCAACACATTTGTCCAGGTAATTTTAAAGTATATTTGTAGAATAAGCAATAAATGTATCTCTTTTCACACTTTCTTTGCTTTGCTCTATGACATACCAAAGGGATGCAGGTATACACAAGATAATTGCTTTAGTTAAATGACATCAGGAGGAATGAAGGATTGTTTCAATGAGCTGTAAGGGTGCCAATAAATCTGTAAATGTCTGTATCAGTCACAAGTAAAGACGTTCCATTAAGATAAACTGCATAGCTAATAGGAGAATTTTCCATGCTATGGAGAGAAGGGGCCATACGAAATACCAGCAGCACTCCGCATATTTCAATAAATGAATGTGGCTAGAGGAATCCACCTATACAACAGGATGTATCACGCAAAGGATTACTGGAAGGCACTAGCTGGAAGAAAAGCTCAGCTAATCTGACTTCTAGGAATTTAGAAATGTATTTTAGATTCACATCTATGATTACAGACAACCTTCCAATGTGGCTGAGCAGAAAGGGCAAAAGAAGTCCTTGCTATTGCCCCCTTCCCAGCTCACTGGCTTACAGGTGTCACAAGCCAGTACCTGAGCAGTGCCTCTTTCACACCATTAGCTTTACAAGTTAAAGGCCAACTTTAAGGTGCCCATACACTGTGCGATTATCGCACGATAATCGCGGGAAATCCCGCGATCGTACGATAATCGCAAAGTGTATGAAGACGTGCGACCGTTTTTACTGTACGGTCGCACGTCTTTTGTCTAGGGAGCACGCTAGAAAACCAGCCGAAAATCGTACGATTTTCGACTGGTTTGAACAGTGCTCGGGAGACAAATGCCGAACAGGCCGCGCACACTGCCCGTTCAGCATTGCGGTCATCGGAAGCCCGCCCCTCAGGGGGGTGGGCTTGCGATGATCGAGAGTGCGATCTGCCTGTCCAAGATGGGCAGATCGTACGTTTTTTTTAAATTACTTTACAACCATCGCAAGACTAAGGTCTTGCGATGGTTGTAAAGCGTATGGCCACCTTTAGGCTATAGTTTTTAAGTTCAGAGAAAAAAAAAAGAAAATGATAATGCTGTGCACTGAGGTCCCCAGCAATAGGTAGCATTTTTAAAAATGCACCACTCGCTGCACTACTCTCAAGCTGCACTGTTCCTCAGTTTTTTTTCCTCACCCTTTTCATGCGTTTACCCACTGGACCGAGGACATACTGTGAGTGCAGGCTATGCATCATTCCACCTTCACCACTGGAGAGGTGGCGAGGAGGAGTAGAGACATGTGCATTATGTGTCCTCTCAGAAGACATGAAAGAGGCATGTGTACAGTTAAGAAACTGAAAAAAATACTACAAAGGGCAGGAGTTTTAAAGCTTCATTCAAATCTTGCGTCTTTAAATCTCTTTATAGTTCTGTACTCCTGTTGGCGTGATTTGTGACTAATTTTTGCTTAGCAATGCTTAAAATATCCTTTTCTTTAACTGAAGGTGCTGCTTACATTGATTTTCAAAGGGTTTCAATTAGTTAGTTCACCTTTCTAATAAAAGTTACCAAGCATTCAAGTGCCCCCAATATATTAAAAAACACTGTCCAGCTTAAAAAAAGAGGTGGCTTCTTTGATATGTCAAACTTGTAGAAGGTGCACAGCTTCTCCCAAATCAAAACTTCTCTCAGTGCCAGTGATCCTGGCAAGATGGCAGGGAACTCCATATATATATATATATATATTGGGAGCGTGCCCCCAGCCCCGCAGGAACAAGCACTCTGGTTTTCTCAAAGCCTGTGCGTGCAGTGTGCTCTCTGTCTCTCTGTCACACATTGCTGAGCTCAGCCACTGCTGCAACAGAGGAAAAGAGAGCACACTGCTCTCATTCCCTCACTGCTGGAAAGATGAAATAAGCCTTTAAAGTGAAATAAAATACCTGGGAAATTCAATGATATGATGAAAAATATAGATCACATTCAGTGAAAACTACATGTTAACACATTTAGTAGATCCAGAGATACAGACAGCTAAAGTTGTAGGTCAACTCTTCCTGCAAAAGGCCAACATGTACCCACTTCCCCCCGTCTCTCAAGTATCTCAACCTAATGGTCAGTCAAATCACCCATCACAATAAAAAGGACCAATAGGGAGGCAGCAGGGGGGCAAGGCCAATTTTCATTCTTACAGGTAAGGGTTTAAGATGCCTTCAGTGATCTACTGATCTTTCAACACGCATTTTGGTGGAAGGTAATCTCTGCCTGTGTTGTGGTCATCATAGTATCAGACTGGATAATCCAAGTTTACTTTACACAGTGTGTTTCAATTTAGTAAAATGCCACCAAAAATAGACTAAACTACAGGTGACTACAGGTACATGTGCGGTCTCATGTTTATGTTCACATTTTATCTAAGAGAAAATATACAAATGTTATTTGACTATCTGGAACTTGGGATTTTCATGAGGTGAGAGTTCA